TGGGTGGGTGGGTTGGTTGTTTTTCTCCTGCCGCTTCCTATCTGTGTGCAGTAAATCCCGTTATCCCTCGGGTGTCTTGAGGAGTCTTGCTTAGGTATATAAAGTTGTTCATTCTGTGTCATCAGACCACATGCCATATTCTGAAATGTAGCAATCTACTCAATTTGTGATTTCATGCATTTTGCAGAAACTGCAAAAGCCAAGCTTGTCCATGAAATCAACTAAAAAAATAAAAAGCTGGCTCCCCTGTGGGATCCAACAGTCCTTGCTACCCACCTTGGGGGTAGGTGCCTGCTGGCAGGGGAGCATGAAGGGCAGCAGACAAGATGGCAGCCACCCCCTCATCCTTCTTTCCCTGTTGAGGCTCCTCTGCCCATCAGTGCTGAGTGTCAGGGCTGGCAGTGCACAACCAGGAAATGTTCACAGAATTTGCACTTTGTGCTGCGACCAACTCGTGTAAATTGTTTAATCTCACTGTGATTTAAGTAGGTCTCTATAATTGCTGTTCTGCTGACTACTCACCTTCTTTATCCTCCAACCCCTCTCTGTAAGTGACGTTTGTTCAGTCACCGTTCAGTTCACTGATGCTTGTCCTGGGGCACCAACCACCTGTAATCTATGTGATATGTTTGTATTCAACACCGTCTACAAAAAATGCCTTCAACATGAATCTCAGCTCCTTTGAAAACTCAGAGACTTGTTCTGGCTTCTCTTAAAGCCAGTGAAGGAGGATTGGCCCCAGCTATAGGCATTGAACTAGATGGATCAGTACAAACCCGAGTGTTCATGGGTAGAGGTCTACTCACCTTGAGGTGGCCGGCTGATTTTGCAGGAAGATCGTGGTGGCCTCTGGCCCCGCCTCCCACCTCAACTTCTGGCTGAGGGGCTCCAGTGGCCCTGCCCTTGTCACTGATTGGTTGCAAGAGCTGTTTATTGCATAGCCCCAGCCCTGTCCCTCACTGCTGATTGGTAGAGAGGCATAGAGCTGCATGCCAGGCAGCCCTCAGCCAGTTAGTAATGAAAGGCAGGGCTGGCAACCATTTTGGGCTCCCCTTTGTGCCAGCAGCCCTGCTCTTCCCAATCCCCCTCCCACTCCGGCAGGCTGCACAGCCTAGATTGCAGTGCTGTGGGGACTGCTGGCTCTCTCTGGGAAGCCAGCATTTTATTTTCAGTAAGTTTTTTATTTTTTCTTCATGGATTTTGTAGGCATTGCCCTATTTATTTATTTATTTATTTATTTATTTATTTATTTATTTATTTATTTATATTTTTGCACAAAAAAATAAATCACTATTTCAGTTGGTCCCTACACGTGGGTCAGACTAAAGCTGTAATTTTGTACTGGTGCAGTTTTACACCAGTTTCAAGCTCCAGCAAGTTGCAGTAGTGCAAGTGTAGTGTGTAATGGATAAAATTCCCTGGTCTAGCAAACTCTCTTAATTTACCAGACTAACACCACCTTTAATTTCAGAGTTTAAACGTCAAATGCAGGCAAGCAGTCAATTGTTTCAGAGGATCTACTGAGCCACTATCATCTGCAGTAGTTCCTAGGTTTCTTTATGGAGATTGTTCCTTGACAATAAAAGGCAGCTCACACTATTGTTTGTGGTAGCTGTCATGTATTTGTCTGACACAGAGAGCAAACTCTACTGCCAAATACGAGTTTAAGGGAAATCTTTCCTTTCATAAACTTGAACATGCTGAGTAAGAAGCTGTCTTTGTACAAACACCGCTACATTAGAAATTGGATGGTTACATTGTCCTTCCTACCCTTAACAGTAGGGAAATTTCAGGGTGCCTATACACATGCAGTGAGGCTTCTCCAATATGCTGTAACTGCAGTGCGTCAGAGCAGACTCGGATAATTGAGTCTCTGGACTGTGATAATTACCACGCTCCAGCAGACTCCAGCATCATGTGTATCAATGTTCCTGTGCTGAAAAATGGCAGCAGGGTGCTTTAACTAAAATTTGTTGGCTGAGCTTTAGTTCAAGCGCCTCCACCGCCCTTTTTCCATGCAGGGATGCATGACACTCTGGACACTTTAATTAGACCAGCTCTTGGAGCTGTTCTAATGAATTAAAGCGCCCCTTTTTCCCACTCTCGAAGCATGTGTATAAACACCCTTAATGTTTAAGCAGAAAATAGTGTTTATCTGCAAAAGGGCTAGTGCTGGCAGATTTCCAGAATTTCAGTATCAGGCACACTGCTGTTTCTGTATGGTGAGAAACTATGCCCCTCATAACACTAAACAAAGCTTTCATTGCAGTTGTTATCCCGTTTCTTCTCCTCAGATCCTCTGTACCATATTTTGTTCCATTCGCAGCAGTTGTACACATAGCCCTTGAAGGGTCAGGTCATGGTTTTGAACTTCTGCACACACATATCTTTCAAAGCCATCAGGATCTCAAATGAAAGGGAGTTTTGTCTGTTACACTGCCAGTAATTTCTTTAAAAGAGCAAATTCTTTCTTTTTTTTTTTTCTTTCCTGTTTCCACTTCTCCTTAGAAGTTATGTCTAATTTAAGAGTATTTTGATTTAACGCTGAAATGGAACAAAACCCAACAAAAATACAACTAGTTTCCTTCTGAAATAATATAGATGTTTCATGTCCAAAGGCAGGGAAAAGTGTAAATAGTTTGCCTGACATTTAGAAGAATTTCTGGGGCTTTCTAGTGCCTCCACCTTTTATAGCATATTTGGTCTTAGTAGCTGCAAAGATAAATGTGATCGACTGCTATTGATGTCTGGGGGCACCAAATCAGGATGGAAATTCTGATGTGCTGAGTGTAGGCTCAGTTCTGAGCCCAAGACTAGCAAGAATTTGGGTAACCCATGTTGGACCTGCGTTATATTGAGACAGTATTTTAATCATTGGGGGTTTTTTCTGGCTTTTCTCTGCCTTGGCCATCCAAACACAAAATAATAAAATTTTACAAAATAGAATTTTGAATCAAGAAATAGGATGAAGGTTTTCCATAGTTACACCAAGTATTATGGTAATATGTTCAGATATTTATTTTTCAGTTCATAATGAGGTTGTCCCATTCACATAAATGTGTCTTTCGCAGCCAAAAGAAATGAGACTTGGTCAGGGATTTGTCAAGGGAAAAGGACCAAGAAAGGATGAGGAAGGTCTATTAGGAGAAGTGATGGCTTCTGGAAACCAAATCTGGTGAGCAGGGGCAAAATGGACTCAGTGGAAGCCAAGGAGAACAGGTGAGGACAGAATAAACTAAACATAGGATTCACTGTTTTTGATTAGGTCAGGGGTTTTCAACCTTTTTCGATCAGTGTACCCCTGGCAGCCAGAT